CATAGTACATTGTTTATCTCTTGAGAAGCAGAAGTTGACATGTAGAATGTTGCCAAGCAACATTATTTCATACTGAGGCATTTCATCAATTCACCAAAATATTTGGCAACATTATTTCATACTGAGGCATTTCATCAATTCACCAAAATATATCCTTATTCTAAACACTTCTTAATTAGTATAAAATGGAAAAGAGGTCTTGAAGAATACAACCTTTACCATGTTTAGCTTCCCAAAAAACAAGCCTTACTCCTCATTGGATGCTAAGCAGTTGGAATGCCTTGGCACTAAGCCGGTGTTCTAGTTTCCTTCCCATTAATATGTATTAGTGACTTATCATATTGTTCCAGCAGAGTGATAAGCTGTTGGAATGACTGGGCAGTAAGTTCTTGATCTTCTTTCCTTCCCATGCATGTGTAGTTAGTAACTTTAGCAGATCATGGTAGCAAAACTCAATTTGCATGTCTAATATTGAGAGCCATGCTATTTTATCATAACATGGATATTTAGTTAACAGGATCACTATTGATTAGTCATGAGAATTCTAGTATGAGGAAAGTTGTTTGTAATATTGATTTTTGGACATTTTAATGAGCTAACGCAAAGACTATTCTCATATGACAACTACATGGTTTTTGAATAAGACAGGAAAATTCTCCATTAACTTCTGAGATTTCTTCATGACATTTGGATGCTTATATGTGAATGTTTTCTTTAAGTGATAAATAATTCAGTGCATGTTCTGCTTTTTAATTGGTGCAGTTTGAAAGGTTTCTAGCATTCCTTTATCAGAAGTTGAAGCTGAAGCAAATCCTTCAACCCCCTATCATTGCTTCTGTAAGTCCTCCCCTTGTTTTCTTAGGTTTCCTTTATCAAGTGTGCAGAACACAAATTGTTACAATCAAAACTTTCATCTGAGGTATGGGGAAAAATATTAATTTGGGTGCTTGAAAGATTTTCCCTAGCATTCTCTTTGACTAAACTGTGGCACTTTTTATTTTCAAGCTTTTTGATAAATCTGTCATCTGAGATTTTTAGCTTGTTCTCATGCCATTTGACTTCTGTTCATCTGCGCTGCAGATCCTAGCCATGGTCCTTGGTGCAGTGCCATTCTTGAAGAAATTGATTTTTACAACTGATGCCCCGCTTTATTTCTTCACTGACAGCTGCATTATTCTTGGGTATTTCTATTTTTCTTATAAAGAGATGAATTTCTTTCTGCCTCTATCTTTTCTTGAATTATTGTTGTTATTAAAGCATCTATGTTTTGGGCACATCTGTGCATGTGTATCTGTTTGTTGAGAGAGAGAGAGAGAGAGAGAGAGAGAGAGAGTTAGGGGTCTAGTTGATAAATTGTTGGAACTTTTAAGTTCATTCATGCACTTTGAAACCTTTGATCTTGTCTTAACACTATTTGATGATTACCAGGGGAGCTATGATCCCGTGCATTTTGTTGGCATTAGGAGGCAACCTAGTTGATGGTAAGTAACTGATGATTATTGTCTTACAGCTTTATTACCTCATCAATAATGGATTTACGTGACTCTAAATAATATAAAGCTGCAATTTTGGTTAGTTATATTTATTGATTAAGACATTTTTTTCTTGACTTTCTGATCAAAATTTAAAATTGATTTTGGCATGAGAGTTCCCTTTATTGATTGTAGGACCAGGAAGTTCAAAACTTGGTTTCCGGACAACTGCTGCCATTATCTTTGGGCGTTTAGTTTTGGTACCTCCTGTAGGCCTTGGTATTGTCATGTTTGCTGATAAGCTTGGCTTCCTTCCCCCTGGTGATAAGATGTTCCGCTTTGTCCTACTCCTGCAGCATACAATGCCTACATCTGTCCTTTCTGGTAAACACCCATTTCTTATTTCTATAGGAAGTCCTCTGCAATTGTCTTCATTTTTTTTAGCATTGATGCATATAAATCACAATTTTTGTGAAGGAAGACCATTTCATATTGGCTACTGTGTTTCTATTAGAGGCAAAAGCAACCATAATTCTGTTGGTTGCCATATAAAAAATATACCATTCAATCTCAGGTCAGGTAGAAAAATAAACAAGATGCTTTAATTTCTTTATCTTGAACTGTTTAATTAGATTGGATAGGCAAATCCATGTCCAGCTTTAAGCATGCTTGAGAGTCTATTGTTAAGGAAGTAATATGAAAAGGGATGGTATATATTTAATCGCTACTTTGGCTACAGGTGCTGTTGCCAACCTACGAGGCTGCGGAAGAGAGGCAGCTGCTGTCCTGTTTTGGGTTCATATTTTTGCAGTTTTCTCCATGGCTGGATGGATTATCCTCTATCTCAAAGTACTCTTCTGAACCGACATATTTGAAACAGATATGATAAGTGAATTTTTTCCTGAGGAAAAGATGTTAGATATTGCCATATCCTGGAATATCAGCAGTGCCTGCGTTCACAGAAGCGTAATTATCCTTTGGTTTACTTCCTGTCCCATCATTAGTTCCTTCAGTGATATTTGTAATAGTAAGAAATTGATATGACAATGTCCTGTTTACTTGCTCTATTTATGTGCGCTCGGTTCCAGGAAAGAGAAAATCCTCTCCAGTTTGCCATAAAGGTTATGTTTTAAATAACTAATTTTGGTAAAGTTTATTTGGAAATCATGATTAATTAATTCAAATACAAAAACTAAATTATTTACTGTAATTTCCCAAATAAGAAATATTGTTTAATAGGAATATTAAACTATATTCTTATTTGTTTCAATTTTATTCTGCTTTTTACTTTATTTTGATCCTTTTATATTTTTATTCGCGAGAAAAGGTTAAAAGATATTTTCTATTTATCTTTATTATTCTTTCAATTTTAATGGTTTAAGGGTGAGAATTCAATTAATATTGAAATTGAGGTTGATTTTTTTTTTTTTTTTTTGAAAAACTGGGTCGCTCTGTAAAAAAACAGAAGTATGGATTTCATAAAAGGATAGGCTTTACTAAACACAAAATTCTTTTACATATTAAAATTAATAAAAGAGTTAGATGTAAAAATTTTATTAGGAACAAAATAAGCAGAACAAACTAGAAACTGTTAAAAAAATTTTAAGTAAAAACATGATAATAGTAACAAACATGAAACTATTAAAAATTGAGTGCAAGTTAAAATGAGAATTCTTTTCTACAAATATACTATAGATTAATATAGAGGACATTGTAGATTAAATTAAATAGAGTTAATGGA